ACACACACACGTACGTACGTACGTCGTACACACACACACACACACACACACACACACACACACACACACACACACACACACACACACACACACACACACACGAACGCACTCACTCACTGTACATTTGCTTGTGTGCGCTTCAGACAATTGAGACGCTGGATGCGACGCTTGAGGAGATGTTGTTTGGGGACGACGCGGAGCCATTTGTTGACGCTCTGGTGAGAACACCGACAAACAGATGCACACACGCACGCACACGCACGCACACGCACGCACACACGCACATGCACGAACACACATACATCCTCAGTCACTGTGTGTCGCACATACACTCATTACGCCCACACGTGAACCAACCATCGCAACACGGCAACACAACAACACCGTGCAGCCGCTGCTGCCATCGGCGTGCAGCGATGACGATGTGCCGCAGCTCTTGTCGCGCTGTGCAAACATGGGCGCACGCACGGACGTCCAAATCCTCGCAGACACCATTGTCACCACAACCGAATTCATTGACGCGTGCCGCGAGAAGATCGAGGTGCGTGCACATACGCTGTTGTTGAGCTGAATAGCATGCGTGCATGTGCATGCGTGTGTATGCGTGTGTGTGTGGTTGTGGGTATGCGTTGGTGCGCATGCGCGCGTGTGTGTTTGTGGTTGTGGGTACGCGTTGGTGCGCATGCGCGCGCGTGTGTGTTTGCGGTTGCGGCACTGTCGCGGCTGAGTGGCAGCTTGTGCTGGAAACGAGGAAGATATGGCACACCTATCAGCACGCACACACATATCCACACAAACATTCGCGTTCACGTGTCGTCGGGCATGTGCACGGGTGCAGGCGCTGATGCCGGAGCGGCTGCAGGGAATTGATCTCAAAGCTGCGAAAGACGCGGTGGAGAGCGCTGCACAGGGAGGCACCAACACCGCCAATGACGATGACGAGGACAACGTGCGCTTACTTGTGTGCTCGTGTGCTCGTGTGCATGTGTGCGTGTGTGTGTGCGTGTGTGTGCATGTGTGTGCGTGTGTGTGTGTGTGCGTGGGTGCTCTTCTTCTTCTTCATTGTGCTGTCACTTCTCACACCGGTATTGCGTTGATGCTCGGGTAAACCGCAACAGGGACTGTCCGGGAAATCCAAGCGGTGTGTTGCACCACTGACACACACGCATACACGCACACGCACATATTGGTCGTAACCTGCGCATTCCGGTGCCTGTCACCTTGACTCTCCATTTACACGCCATTATCCTCCACCTCCGCTCTCTGTGCATGCGTTGTGCTGGTGGTCAGGCGTGGCCGAAAGAAGAAAAGCGGTGGCGGTGCGAGTGCAAAGGGAAAGAAGGGCAAGTCTGCGGCTCCGTCTACAGATATCCTCAACTTCATGTCCTTGGACGAGATGTCCGCCTTCATTACAAAGGCGTTTCCAGACACAGAAGGTGCGTGGTTGTGCCGGCTTTCTTTGTATTTGTTTGTTTGTTTTGTTTGTTTGATTGTTTGTTTGGTTGGTTTGGTTGGTTTGGTTGGTTGGTTGGTTGGTTGGTTGGTTGGTTGGGTTTTGTTACCGAGCTGTTTCCTCGTGGGCAATTAATTGCACATGCAGTGTTGCCATATCGCGCACACGTGAGCGCATTAACATCACATCGTGTTGCCTCCTCCATGTTCAACAACGACCTTCCCCCCCTCCCCCCTTGACCTTTCTTGCTGTCACGCAATTGCTGCTTCAGATCACCCTGGGCTTGCGGATGAGATTGCGGCGAAATTGCATGCGCCCCTCAGCTCCAAATTCAAGGTGAGTAATCAATGCACAGTCGCAACAATCAGAGACATGCGAACACCTCGTGAATGCGTTGGCGTCGCCACCAAACAACTCATGCCACACGCATAGAGATGGCCGACTTCCAGCCTGTGCCACCCATCCTGATTCGTGCTCACCTCACCACGTGAACACACCACCACGACAGGAGATGGTGGTTGCGCGCATCAAGTCTGGTGCTTCCGGCACGGGGCGAAAGGAGGCGAGAGCAACACTCGAGCGCACGTTCAGGTGTGTCACCTTCCTGTGTATGTGTGCGAAGTTCTGTGTTCACGCGTGTGTGTGCATGTGTGTGTGTGCATGTGTATGTGTGTGTGTGCATGTGTATGTGTGTGTGTGTGTTTGTGGAAGCAATCCACCTCACCTGGAGGCATGCGTGTGCCGTGTCCTTCCAACAGCACCATGTACGACAACATCCAGGCGTTTGCAAAGACATCAGCGTCACTTTCGGAGACGGACGCGTCGCTGTCATCGACGCTCGACCGCCATCTGCTCCGCTCGCTCTGCCCAGATCTCGTTGCTGTGCTCATCAAGCTCCTGGTACGATGATGATGATGATGATGATGATGATGATGATGATGATGATGATGATGATGATGATGATGATGATGATGATGATGATGATGATGATATTCCATGCGCCTGTGTGCGTGTGTGCCTGTGCCTATTTGAACTCGCCCCACACTCTGTGTGCATGCGTGTGAAACCAAAAGTCCTTGTTGGGGCACTACTCTGCTGGGAGTGCTCACCACCTGTTCTCTCCTGTTTGCTCGTCATGTTCTTTCTGTGCAGGCACTGGAGAATCTGATCCAATTTGATGTGGACAAGCCCCTCTCGAGCGACGAGCGGAAAGAGGTGTGCTCTCGTCCACACACGTGGTGATGGTGGTCGATGTGGTGGTGGTGGTGATGGTGGTGGTGGTGGTGGTGGTGGTGGTGGTGGTGGTCGATGTGATGGTCGAAATGCAGCACATGCGACACTGTTGTACCTTCAGCTTCCCTCACCACGCTCGTCCTCATTGTGTTCTCATCGTCGTATCCTGGTTGGCTGTTGTAGATCCTCAACGAGAGCGCGCCCGCAGACAAGAAGACGTTCAATGAGCTCTTGCAGATGTGCAATGGCAAGGTGCGACTCATGTGCACACACGAACACACACATAAACACACACACACACACAAGCGCGTACGCTTTGACAGCAACAACACAGCACACGCTCGCCTTCCTCATCGCAACGCACACTGATGTTTGTGTGTTTCGTGCACGCGTGCCGTTTTCCACTGCACGATGTGTTGTTCGCAGGACCTCGCTGCGTTTCAAACGGCAATGGAGAAGGTGGCGGAAGACAGGCTGCAGCTCTTCATTCGCCCCTTTGACAAGAAGACAGAGAAGTACGCACATACGCACATGCCCACACGCGCACGCACACGCACACGCACACACGCACACACCACAAGGAGTTCGCCGCGTGCTTCGTGTTGTGTGCTTTGTCGCTGATCTGCATTCGCTTATTCCCGTCCGTATCTGCCCTGCCCCATCCCGCTCGCACCTTTCTTTGGTCTGGATAATGTTCTTGAGCACCCATTGCATAATCGCCTCATATCTGTATCGATTTCTTCTTTGTCCTTTGCCATATCGTGGAATGTTTGTGCTCGCACCTGTGGTTACCTGCAGGCAAGTGCTTGCGAACCACCGCGCCGGGCTGGCGCAAATGGTCGATGCACTCCCGAACACGGCGAACCTTGGCGAAGCCCTTCTTGCCGTCATTACCCTGGTGCGGCACTGGGTGGTTCAGGCGAGAGATGCTCGTGGCTGTTGTTATTGGTGTTGTTGGCCGTTGGTGTTGTTGTGGCGGTTGTCATTGGTGCGTTGTGCTTGGTGCGTTGTGCTTGGTGTTTTGTGCTGCTGCTACTGCGCGAACCTGCTGACTGCACAAGGCACCATCACACTCCGCGTCGCTGACTTTCTCCGGCACTTGTGTTTCATGCACGATAGCTGTTTGCACAGCAGCGCAACGAATGCCTGCATGCACACGGGCGCAGCATTCCGCAGCTGTTGGATGTGCTGAAGGACGATGTTGACGAAGACACGTTCGCCACCCTCAAGCAGGCGCAGGACGAGGTGTGTGTGTGTGTGTGTGGTTGCGCGTCTGGGATATGCATGAGCTCATGTGTGTGTGCGTGTGTTTGAGCATGGCTTGACGTTCTATTGTGCTGCATGAACAAACAACGTCTCGTCTCTCCTTTTCAGGTGTATGCACAGCTGACGAAAGGGGAGGACGAGGAACCTGTTGAGTTGACAGTCACCGTTGCTGACTTGAAGCGGCTCGTGGCCAAGAAATGATGGGCGTGTTTTCATGCTTCCTTACTGCTCCTGCTGATCTTCTTTTGTGTGTGTGTGTGTGTGTGTGTGTGTGTGTGTGTGTGTGTGTGTGTGTGTGTGTGTGTGTGTGTGTATAGTTCCGAATACACAACCTGGAATCCATGTCGATGCAGAGAGAAGTTTTACTTGTTTGTCAAATCATTGTAACCCAACGGAGTCCAATCACACCATGAGCAGCGACACCTGCTGCCTACGTTCCAAATACACACACTCTCTCTGTCTCTCTTTCTTTCTGTCTCTGTCTCTATTACCTCACCACCGCATCACGACCACAGCATGTTCGGGGGGGGGAGGGGTCAAAGGGTTAGAGGTAGCACACGCCCGGGTGACGCGGGAAGGGAATGACGTCTCGCACGTTCTTCAATCCCGTCACCGCCAGCAGCAGCCGCTCAAACCCGAGCCCGAACCCTGATGAGACGTGGTTGTGAGTGGTGAATGTGTGTGTGTGTGAATGAGTGTGTGAGTGAGTGTGAGTATGTGTGTGTGAATGAGTGTGAGTGAGTGTGTGTGTGTGTGTTTGTGAGTGAGTGTGAATAGCGAGCACAGTTAACGTTCGAAGAAGGCAGCACTTGCTGCACAAGAAGGGTATGCGTTCAGTACCGCATTGTGTTGAGATGAAGATGACAACACAGACACAGACGAGCACAGTCACACACACATACAAGTACACACACACACATATACACACACACACACCTGCGTGGGGCACAGATCCAAACCGTCTCAAGTCCAAATACCACTCGAGATCAGCGGCGGCAGCAGCGCCAAGCTCTAATCAACAGCAGGGATGGGACCATGCAAGCAAGCATGTGTGAACTTAAGGACAAAACTCACTCAGGCAACTTCACACACGCACACAGAGCCACAGCAAGTGTGGGTGTCATTCTCCTCAGCTTTCTCTTCCTCCCATGGCTTGCATGCATACGTTCAGTAATGTTGGCGTGGAGGTGATCAAGCCTGTGCTCACGTGCAGACCCGCCCGTCAACTCGCCAATGCCAGGGACGATGAGGTCAGCAGCAGCAACAGTCGCGCCTGAGGGTCAGGCATGGCCAGGGGATAGATGGTGGGTGAATTCGTTGGTTGGTTGAAGCACGTGGTAGCGCAAGCCACATCAAGCAAACGCAGCACACGCGAGAGCTCCCTGGACCATGCAAGCAAAGACGCGCAAGTATTTGTCGGTGCATGAACAAGCACCCACTTTGGGAGACTTGTTTCACACGCATGCCTTCCCCTCACTGTGTACACTTCCCTATCTTCACCACCTTGGCTTGGCGGGCTGTCGTCCTGCAGCATGTAGAATGGTTTGATCGCCTTTGGGTAGTTGGTGATGAACACGGGGCCCTCACACATGTTTGCAATGAACTGCTCGTGTTCATATGCGAGATCACGGCCCCAACACGGCGCTAACGTGAATGCCGTCTTGGCGTGGTGCTCCTCCAATGCCTTGACGGCCTCTGTGTACGTGATGCGCTCATACGAGCTGTAAGCGCACAATGACGTTGAGACCCACATCGAAGCGTGAGCAACAGCAGGTGCGCTGGAGTTAACAGAAGTGCAGTGAAAGATGTAGACACACACACACACACAGATCAACAGGCAGGCAGATAGATAGGTCGACAGACAGGCAGACGGGTACTCGCCCACATGTCCACACACACAACAAACACACAACAAACACACACACACACATAAAACAACACACACACACACAACACAACACAACACACACACACACACACACAACACACACACACACACACACACACACACACACAACACAACACATACACACACGCATGCAACCCACCCCTTGGCGAGCGCTTGGACGCGTTCGCGGGTGGCGGGCTCCTTGGACCAGAGCATGTCGAGGTCGTCACCCGCGGCATGCATGAGTTGCGCGGCGGCAGCGGATATGAAGTCGTCCTGAAGGTCGAGGCAGTCGTCAAGGGATGCAAACGCCATCTCAGCTTCCAGCATGTAGAACTCAGCCAGGTGCCGCGGCGTGTGGGAATTCTCGGCCCTGAACGTGGGACCTAGGTGGTGATTAATGATTGGTGATTGGTGACGTGATAGTTGTGTGTGCATGCGAGCATGGATAGAAGCGGTGAGACGTCCTAACCATGCATGCGCCACCCGCAGATACACAGACGTAGACGCAGGCAGAGAAACGGAGAGATATCTATCCACACCTCCAAACACGCAGATACACAGACACACACACGCACGCACACACACACACACAAACACACACACACACACACAAACACACAGACAGACACACACACACACACACAAACACGCGCGCGCGAGCACAGACCCGAAATGCTCACCGAATGTGTACACGCGCGGGTATGCGCCACATGCTATGGCCTCTGCATGGAGCTGCCCAGAGACGGTCAAGTGGAACGGCCTGCTGAATAGCCCAGCAGTCGTCACGGCAGCAGCATCATCTGCCTCGCTCCCGTTGCCGCTGTTGCCGCTGTTGCGGTTGCTTCTGAGGCGACCACCAGTGCCAGTGCTGTCGCTGGTACCGTCTGAGGGCTGGCTTGACTCACTGTGGCGGTGGTGGTGATGCGGTGCGGTCACGGAAAAGACGTCGCCTCCGCCCTCGCAGTCGTTGCTGGTCAAGATGGGCGTGTGCACGCTGGCAAAGTCCCACTCCGCAAAGATCCTGTGTGTGAGTTGGGTCAGGCAGGACCGCACACGCAGCGCGGCTGCCAGCGTACTTGTGCGCATGCGCATGTGCGGGATGGTGCGCAGGAACTCTGCGCTTGCGTCTCTGCCTTGCACTGGGTAAGAGGCAGTGTCGCAGTCGCCAATCACGCTGACGTTCGCCGCTTGCAGCTCCAGTGCCTGGCCTTTCCCGGGGCTCTCTGCCAGCGTCCCCGACACCTCCACTGCACTGCCCACGTTGAGGTGCTCGGCTGTCTCTGGACTGAGGACGACCTGCAACGGTCTGGCTGTCGTGCCGTCTGTCAAGGCCGCGAAGGCCACGCGCTTCTGTCTGCGCAGGGACTTGAGCCAGCCACGCGCAACCACGGTATTGTTGTGGCCCGGCTCTGTCGTCTGCAACAGGCGGCGGATCGTGGCCGCCCCTGTTCTCCACCACCTCGCACTCATCGTTCTGCTCTCTTTGTGTGTGTGTGTGTGTGTGTGTGTGTGTGTGTTGGGGGAAGAGGTTCGTGCTCCTCGTTCCCGCTTCAGCTGTGTCAGTGTGTGTGTGTGTGTATGTGTGTGTGTGTGTGTGTGTGTGTGCAGTGGCCAAGTCGTAGCACAACCACGTGTCCTTCCTTCCTCTTCCTCTTCCTGCTTGTCAACAACAGCGCGCAATTAATTTCGTCAGCAGCGGTTACAAAACACCTGTGCTCAGTCCACACAACACAAACAACAACGCACAGCCAAGATGAGTGACGACGCGAAGCAGCAGCAACCAGCGCAGGACGAGGCACCCCAGCAAGCAGAGCAGCAGCAGCAGCATCAACAACAACAACAAGGGGATGATCGGGTGCCGCGGGTTGTGAGGGAAATCGTGCAGCTGCCACCGGATCCAAACGATAACGACGGTGATGATGACGGTGATGAGAATGCGACGCCCTTCGACTCCTTTGGAGACGATGAAGAAGACATTGACATCACACACGCTCGCATCACCGACATGGCGCCGTTGGCACGGTTTCACAAACTCAAGGTGAGCGAGTGTTGTGTGTACGTGTGTGCTTGTATGTGCGGGTGTGTGTTTTGTTATTGTATGCGTGTGTGTGTGTGCGTGTGTGTGTGTGTGTGTGTTGTGTTATTGTATGCGTGTGTGTATGTTTGTATGTGTGTGTGTGTTGTGTTGTGTGTGTCGCTCAGCCGTCGCGTTCGGTCCTTTCCCATTGGCTCCGCCAACACGATGACATGGCGTGAGTTCACAATTGTTGTCCGCGGTTATCATGCGTGGCAGACGCTGTGCCTGAGGCAGAACCACATCACAGAGATCTCTGGCTTGGAGAACTGCACACAACTGGAAGAGTTGGAGTTGCGCGACAACCTGCTGGAGAAGATTGAGAACGTCAACCACCTCACAGAACTCAAGTAAGTCACGTTTATATGTGTGTGAAAGTGTACGTGTGTGTGTACGCGTGTGGTTTATGCGCTCTTGTGTTTGTCTGTGCGCGCTTGTGTGGTCTCTCACGCTGCTGCTGCTGCGTCGTTGCTGTGCTTTAAATATCACTCCACTTGCGACTCCCTTCTTCACACCATTCATGCGCTCATGCATGCACACACACACACACATGCGATGGATGACGCCAGGGCACTTGACGTGTCGTACAATGGGATCCGCAAGATCAAGCACATCAGCCAGCTCGTGAAGCTGGAGAAGCTGTTCCTTGCCAACAACAAGATCAAGGCCATTGAGCACCTCAACCACCTCGCCAACCTCACCATGCTCGAGCTCGGCGCCAACCGCATCAGGGTGTGTACGTGTGTGCATGTGTGTGTGTGTGCATGTGTGTGTGTGTGCATGTGTGTGTGTGTGTGTGCATGTGTGTGTGTGTGTGTGTGTGTGTGTGTGTGTGTGTGTGTGTGTGTGTGTGTGTGTGTGTGTGTGTGGCTGAGTGTATGTGATTCGCTGTTGCAAACTCATTTCCCGAATTGACGCACGGTCTCCTTCCCATCACGCGCGCACACACACATGCATATTTCAGGAGATTGAGGGTCTGGATGCACTTGTGAACCTTCGCCAGCTGTTTCTGGGCAAGAACAAGATCACCCACATCTCTGGCCTCGACAACCTCATGAACCTCCGCGTGCTCAGCCTACAGGTGCGGCATGTGAATGGTGCATGCAAGTTGTGTGTGCATGCGTTGAGTGTGGTTTGGCCTATTTGGCTCCCTGGGCGCTGCTTCTGTTCGTACACCACTCTACATACTCACAGCCTCACCACCACCACCACCATCACCACCACCACCACCACCACCATCATCATCATCGTGCGTAGAGTAACCGCATTGAGAAGATTGAAGGGCTGGAGAACTTGAAGCACCTTGAAGAGTTGTATCTCTCACACAACGGCATCACCGTCATCGAGGGCCTCGACCACCAGGTGTGCATGTATGTGTGTGTGTGTGTGTGTTTATGTTTGTGTGCGGGTTATGTTTGTGTGTGCGTGTGCGTGTGTGTATGTGTGTGTGTGCATGTGTGCGTGTGTGTGAATGTGTATGTGTGTGTGTGCGTACATTTTCGGCGTGATATGGTGTGTTGCTGTGTGGTTTTGCAACTTGCCCTCTCTGCCCAACTTAAACTCCCTTTTCTCAAATACCATTCCAATGTGCAATCACCACACCTGTGCTCCGCGTCCTCCTGTTCACCCCCCACTTTCTCTCTCTCTCTCTCTCTCTCTCTCTCTCTCTCTCTCTCTCTCTCTCTCTCTCTCTCTCTCTCTCTCTCTCTCTCTCTGTGCGTGCGTGCATGCGTGCGTTCCTTGACCCATCCCAGCTTGAGCTGAGCGTGCTTGATGTGTCGGCCAACCGCATCGAGCACCTGAGCGGCGTCTCCCACCTCACCGCCCTCGACGAGTTCTGGGTCCGTCTGCACACCTCTGGTCTTGGTAGCAGTGGTGGTCAGGGCCGTGATTGGTGGTCGTGATTGGTCGTGATTGGTCGTGCTGTAGCAGCTGCTCATGCATTTGCCGCCACATGTTAGATGAACCTCACGCGCACACACACATACACGCACACACACGCACACACACACGTACACACACACTCACACTCACTCACTCACACACTCACTCACACACACACACACACTCTCACACTCTCTCACACACACACACTCACACATTCGCTCACTCACTCACTCGCTTACACACACTCACTTACTCACACACACACACACACACACACACACACACACACACACACACACACACACGTGTGGCTGCAGTGCAACACGAACAAGCTGTCATCGTGGCCCGAGCTTGAGCAGCTGAAGCCCTGTGCACACATCACGTGCGTGTACTTTGAGGGCAACCCGCTCTCCGAGGACACCATGTATCGGAAGAAGCTCAAACTCACGCTCCCCTCCCTCAAGCAGATTGACGCCACCCTGTGCGGCAAATGAGCAGTGGCTGTCACCCGTGGTTGTTGTTGTTGTTGGATGTAACATGGTGGTAAGTGTGGTGGTTAGATGTGTGGAAGCGGACATGCTGTTGATTTGGCGATGGCAATGGTGGCGGGTGATGCCGCGCCGTGTTGTCTGTTGTTGTTTGGAATTGTCTGTCGGCCGAGTGGTTCGTCGGTGGTTGTTGTTGTTGGCTGTTGTTGTTGCACGCGAAATGTGGAACGAAAAAGGCACATGAATACATGTTCGTGTCAATCCATTGGATGCGAACGAGGTGTTGCGAAGGAAACGTTTATTCGTTCATGAAATGGGGCACAGTAGTTGTTCAATACTGGCAAAACAGGCGCATCACGCAGGGAGCAATCAAGTCAAAGGCCACATAGTCATCATCAGCATCAACATCAACCACTATGCATGCGAGCACACCTCCACCTGACATGGCGGCGTTTCTTATTCCACACACACACACACACACACACACACACACACACACCCACGCACACACACACACATACACACACAAACACACACACACACACACACACACACACACACACACAGGGTCTCTCTATCTATGCCGGCGTGTCTGCACGTAAAAGCAGTGTGCGACAGACAGCCGACGTCGCTCAACCTCAATGCTTCACCCACCACCGCGCTTCCGCCCACGACCTAAAAATTCCAAAGATGACACACTCAACAACACAGTCACAACAAGCCAACATCGGAAGGCCACCCCACGTGCACTCACACTCACACACATACACATACACATACACATACACACATACATACACACATACATACACACATACATACACTCACTCACACACACACACACACACAGACACACATCACATGGCAACACCGAGTTTGAGGTAGACGATGAGCCTGTAGAACCAGGTCTGCTCGTTGAGCCGCCCAAACGCCGTCACGTGCGAGAATGTCTTTGCCGGGCGCAGAAACACGCTCGCATAGTCCTTCATGAACATGAGGAAGCGGCTGTCCATCACAAACATGTGGCGGCACTCCCTCTCCTCCTTTGAGATGTAATCGAGCGCGGGCTGGTCCGCCGGGAAGCGGCCGCTGAAGATGGCCTCGCACCACTTGTGCAGACACGGCTCGGAGACGTTGCGCACGGCTTGCATCACGCCACCGTGCCAGTAGTCGCACTCCGCGCACGTGCCGAAGAAATGGCCGCGGCTGTCGCGGAAGAAGCCCAGATTGCTGCTCGGGTGCTCCGTCTTGTGGTTGCTGAGGTACTTGAAGAAGGGCATGAGAGGTCGCGACACGACAATGTCCGCGTCCATGTACAGCACGTTGTGCACGTGCGCAGGCAGCACGTCAAACATCTGGCACTTGAACGAGTGGATGGCCAGCTTGGAGGCGACGGCGTCGACGCCAATGACGTTCACGCTGTACTTGTCCCTGAGCGACGGCCAACCGTCCTGCCGGTCTGTGATCACGTACACCTCGCCTTCCCACCCGCCCGTGGTTCTCAGCGACGACACGGCGTTGTGAAGGATGGTGGTGTTTGTCCACGTGCCCATGCAGATGAAGACAAAGGCGTCGACGGCCTCGGAGCTGGTCACGGAGAAATCCGCCGCCGTCAGCGACAGGCCGATGGGCGTCCACACATAAATCACGTACGCGGAGAACACAATCAGGAACACAATCGCCGCCGCAAGGCCTCCGCGGTACCGGTCGCCCATGGACGTCGTTGTGTGCTGCGGAAGCGTGGCGTGTGCGTGTCATCGTGTGCGTGTGTGTGTGTGTGTGTGTGTGTGTGCGTGTCATCGTGTGTGTGATGATGTGCGTTTGATGTGTGGATTTGTGCATGCGCGTGCATTTGCGTAGACGTGTGTTGTGCGTACGTGCGTGCGTGAGTGAGCTGCGACAATTTGCCAACAATGAACAGAGAAGCCCGCAGGATGCTTTCATGCATACGCTTGAGCCGCAGTGGCCGTAACAAACAAAGAGCGACAGGGAAGCAGGGAAGCAGGGAAGCAGGGAAGCAGGGAAGCAGGGAAGCAGGGAAGCAGGGACGCAGAAACCCCAACAAAACAACACGCACGCACCTTTTGTTGCACTGGAGGCACTTCGATATTCACAGCACCTCCTTTTGGTGATGCTGGCTTCATTGTTCCTCCTCTTCAGGTTCCAATGCACACGATCCAGCTGGTGGAGGAGGGATGGGCGTGGAGGAGGTGGTGGTTGTCACGTCACCAAAGCTTCTGGTGTTGGCTGTGTCGCTCTCGCGCTTGCTTTTTGTGCGTGAAGTTTGTTTTTAAGGCTCGACAATTGGAACAAGACATCCACAAATCGTCGACAGCACACTTGTTTTCATGCTGGACGCGTTTACCACACAGCTGACTGACTCGACGGTTGCCGACGACGACTCGAGTGAAGTGAGCGCGAGGCTGCATGGATGGATGGTGCGGGGGATGCATGGGTGGTGTGGTTGATCAAGGGACCGACTGCCTGCCACACAACACACGTGTTCATACTCACGAATGCCCCTTCTTGCTCTCTACCTCTCATGTAATTTGTTTGTTGCAGACATGCCGCTGTGTTTGCATCGTGGGTGTGGGAAGGAGTACTCCGAGGAGGAGAACAAGGATGGTGCGTGCATGTGTGCATGTGTGCGTGCGTACATGTGTGTTTTGGTGTGCGTGCATGTGTGCATGTGCGTTGCTGTGCGTGGTTGCTACTGCGGTTTCTCCCGTGTGCGCGTGTGTACACGCGTTTATTTGCTTGCGCGCTCGTATCAATGCGTGCACCGCTGTGTGTTGAACGCTTTCAACAAACGCACTTTTGGAGCACGTATCTCGTGGTGCACGTGAAAACAAGCGCGCGAGCGCTCACACACTATATCACACACACACACACACGCACACACACACGCACACACACACACACTACATCACACACACACTACATCACACACACACACGCTCATGGCATGCATGCACCCTATACATAGGGGATTGCCGGTATCACCCTGGTACTCCCATCTTCCACGAAGGGCTGAAGGTTTGTCTCACCCCAAGCAGTTGTGTACGAGCTTCTTGTCTGCGCTGTCAATGAAACCTCGTTGACCGTGGAGCAAAGACAAGTTTCTCATTGTCCTCAAGTCCATGGCATCGCCACGCGCTGCATATGCCTGATTGCTTGGCCAGCTGACTCCGTTGTTTGTTTGGTTTGCTTGCCGTGCTCGTGGTTTGTGATAGGGCTGGTCCTGTTGTAACAAGCGGTTCACGGATTTTTCAGAGTTCTTGGCATATCCGGTACACGAGCGCATTGACTGCATGCGTGCGTGTGTGTGTATCTGTGATTGTGTATCTGTGATTGTGTGTGTGTGTGTGTGTGCGTGAGTGCGTGTGCGTGTGCGTGTGTCTGTGTCTGTGTCTGTGTGTCTGTGTACGTGTGCGTGTGCGTGTGCGTGTGTGCTTGTTTGTGTGAGCGGCATCCGCTCTTCTCGTCTTTGTGTCCCCTGCCGTCTCTCACGGCAACCCAACCCACGCCGTGGTGCATTGCTCGCTCAGGGATGCACGTATGGAGAACACAGCGACGTGCCGCCGGACGATGACGTGGATGCAAACGCGGCGTTGAAGGAGCTCTCCTCTGCCCCAATTGATCGCCTCTCCCTGGAGCAGCAGCAGACCATGGCACAAGTCCGGTACGTCTGCGGCGCTGTCCCGTGTGCTTTGTTGTGCGTGCGTGCGTGCGTGCGTGCGTGTTTGTGTGTGTATGTGCGTGTGTGTGTTTGCATGTGTGTGTGTGTGTGTACATGTGCCGACGCTGGCCGCTTTCTTCTGTTTTTGACCTTACTTTCCCTTGCACACACACACACACAAATACACACACACACACGCACATACATATGCACGTACACATGCTGCATTGGCGCCTTACATCATTGTGTCCGTGACGCGAATGTACGCCGTTGCGGTGCCAGTGACGCGGCACCAAAAGTTGATCTGGACGTGAAGGTGACGCCCTCGCTCGAGCGCGCCCTGGAAAAGTTCCGCGCACGCCAGGCAGAGGAAGGTACGGCAATGGCGGTGGCCCATGGCAACAGTCGTTGAGTTGGGCGTGATGTGCCACGATGATTGTGGTGGTCATGGTCATGGTGATGGTGATGATGATGATGATGGTGATGATTGTTGTCGTTGTGATGGTCATTGTGGTGGTGGTCGTTGTGATTGTTGCGGTGGTGCCGGTCCTGCTGCTGCGTGCGCTGCGGTCTCACTCTGGATTTTGCTGTCCAACCACTTCATTCACGCTTCAGAGACGGATGAGGTGAAGCCTGGACAGCCGTGCACCAACAACGCGTGCAACGCTACATACGTTGACGAAATGAGCAACGAGGAGGAGTGCTTGTACCATCCAGGGGCGCCTGTCTTCCACGAAGGGTAAGCGGGTGTGTGTGGTGTGTGGTGCGTGTGTTTGTGTTGCGTGTGTGTGTGTGTGTATTGCGTGTGTGTGTGTTTGTGTTGCGTGTGTGTGTGTGTGTGTGTGTGTGTGTGTGTTCCTTTGTTCCTTGTGCCTGTTTTGCCCTCATGCTGACGCGTCTTCGTGTCCACCACATTCTCAAACACCACATTGTTTACCCTTCCCTTGCTCCCTCTCCTCTTCTCTTGGTTTGTTTTCGCACGGCAGGTACAAGTACTGGTCCTGCTGCCCAAAGAAGAAGACCTACGAGTTTGATGAGTTTCTGGAGTTTAAGGGCTGCACGACAGGTGCGCACGCGTGCGCAATTGTAGTCATTACGACGTTGTCACAGCAGTGGTGCCGGTGGCGACAGTCGCGTCGTGGGTACAGTGGTGTTGTGTTGTGATTCGAGGTGCCGCTAGCGCTGTTGTGTACCTCTTGCTCCTCTCCCCCCTGCCTCTTCTCCTCTCAACGAGCACCACCCATTTGCCCCACTCTCCTTCCATTTCTTTTACTCCCCTTTCCTTCAAACGACAACCAGGAAAGCACTGCTGGGTGAAGCCAAAGACAGCGCAGGTGCGCAAGTGCCGGCACGACTGGTTTCAGTCGGATGATCGCGTGAGTGTCAGCATCTACGCCAAGTGCATCGACCCGGAAAAGTGCAGCGTCAAGGCAAACTCAGACTCGGTGCGCTTGCCTGTCTGTGTGTGTGTGTGTGTGTGTGTGTGTGTGTGTGTGTGTGTGTGTGTGTGTGTGTGTGTGTGTGTGTGTGTGCCTGTGTGCGTGCGTATGTGTGTGTGTGCGTGCGTGTGTGTGGGTCTGTTGTATGGTCTGTGTCTGTGTGTGTGCATGGGTGTGTGTCTGTTGTATGGTCTGTATCTGTGTGTGTGTGCCTGCTTTGCGTCGTCTTGTTTTATGGTGGGGGGGGGGTCTGCTGCTGGCTGTCAAAATCATTGGTCTTTCGTGTCCACTTTGACCCTTCCTAGTCTGAAAAGTACGCTCACACACACGCATGCACCATGCGTGTTTCCCTCCATGCGCGCAATCCACCCAACAGCTCACGGTTGATATTGTGTATGAGGACATCAACAAGTACACAATGGAGCTTCACCTTGGCGGCGTAAGCCGAGTTGTGTTGAGAGGCTGTGGTTGCATCTGTTGTTGTTGCTTTGTGGCACACGACGGACTGCTTTGCGTCATATCCATCTCACACACGCTTATGTACACACACGCACACACATAAGCGTGGACGCACACATACGCACACACGCACACTGTGCGCTCACCACCCCATTTCCTGCTTCTCCCTTGCTCGTGTGACAGAAAATTGACCCTTCAAAGTCATCTGCAACGCTAACGGGCACCAAGTTGGACCTGAATCTCGTCAAGGCATCTCCGGGCGACACGTGGGCTGACTTGGAGGCCTCCACATGAACATGGGCGACGTTACGCGTGTGCATGTGAACGTGTCTGTCTGTATGTGCCTGTGTGTTTGTGTGTGTGTGTGTATGTTTGTGTGTGTGTGTGTGTGTATGTTTGTGTGTGTATGTGTACTTATGCCTGTGTGTCTGTGTGTCTGTGTGTCTGTGTGTGCCTGTGTGTTTGTGTGTGTTATTGCTCTTTCCTCTCCTCCCCCCTGCTCCCTCCCCCCTTTCTGTCCCACACCTCTTCCCACTCCCCACTCCCTCGCCCCCCCCCCCCTCTCTCACCCTTGTCCCACACAGTAAAGCACTCGAATACAACGAGCATGAGGAAGCAAGTACCATCGCGGTGCTGTTTCCCTCTCTTGTAGATTTTCCAAATCACGCACGCTGCACCACGTTGCATCTCGCCACGCCGCAGCTTATCAGATCATGAGAAATCAAAGCGAGGTGAACCCTCGTTCCTCTCGTTTAGTATGTATGTAGTGGCCAAACATGGAACACGTCGTTTGATCAAAGACGAAGCAGAAGAAAGAGAAGAAAGAAGTGAAGCACAAACGTCACGCAATCATCAGATCGTGTGCGCAAGGCGGGATCGACACACACACACACGTAGTACACGCGCGCGCGAGCGCGTGCTTTGCTTCTTTTGATGTTCGAAGCGCAAGAGTACCGCTGGTGCTGCTGGAGTAAGAGTGCTTAACCACGCCACACACTTACACACCTATCACCACTCTCTTTCTTCCCAAACACAAACATCATCACACAAGCAAGCGAAGACCATTTGCGCTGCGCAGCGCACACGCATCTCCTCATGTCGCTGCGTGCTTTGATCAAAGGAAGGATCTCGGTGGTGTTGACGATGGCGGCCTTTGTTCAAAACGATGGACAAAAAAGAGGACACGTCACATGCCGATGAGTCATTGCTGTTACAGGGTGCTTCGTTTTCCCGGTTCGAAGGAGTTGTCGATGATTCACGTCTATTTTCATGCAATCTTCGAATGGCATATCTTCGTTCATATTTCTTTTTGGGGTTGAACAACTCGAGGCGAAAAATTAAAAAAATATTCATCTCCTGTTCCTGACGGCGGCAACGCCAAACATAACAACAAACGCAGAGAAAGAGCAGCGCCACCACCACCAGCACGGTCAACCCCATCTGTTTTTTGACGCCTGCGGCAGGTGAGGCCCTTGAGCGGCGCATTTCCCTCAAGCACCCACCATCACCTGCTTGAACCCCCTTCCCTGCCTCACATCGCCTTGAACCCTCCTCTCTCCACGACCTACTCCCTGCCTGGCACCCGTCTCTCTCCACACCAACTTTGCTTCTTGGGTCTTGTTGTTCATCGACGGACACATCCAAGCAAGCAATCACCCCCCCCCCAAGGCCGGTGTGCTTTGCATCGAGAACTACAACCACAAATCAGGTTTGTATGCGTTGTTTGTGTTGGTTTCCCCCACATTCCACGCACACACACGCATCAGACGCATCAAGGGCAGCCATCTGTCTTGTCTGCGTCATCACTCCCATCTTCTGTGGTGGTGGTGTCGTCGATATATTGGACTGTGTGTGCTGCGTGTGCTGCGTACTCCTCTTTTCTCCTCTTGCCTACCTTGCTGTAACGATTGATGGTGGTGGTGGTGGTGCCGCAACATGGCTTGAGAGCCTCCCTCTTCTGGGGGTTTTTTCTGTGCGTGTCTTTTCCCACACGTCGTTGCCTCTATTTTTGATAGTTGTCGGTGTGTATTTGTCGAGCTGGCGTTGTTGTTGTCGTTGTTGTCGTTTCTATCGCCATCGTCGTTTGTTGTCGCTTGTTGGCGTTTGGTGTGGGTCTTTTTCATCAGCCACCCATCCAATCCACGTCGACGCAACAACAACCCCCCCTTCTCCCTCCATCATCTTCCCTGTCTTGGCTCCGCTTTCAAACCACTCGCTCATCAACTTACCACCGATTGCTTCCATCTTACCCACTTGTATTCCACAGATTCGCCAACCAACCAACCAACTTCCACCCCCCCTTCCCAAACCTTTTCCCACCAACCCGCAACCACGTCGACTCCAACGAACCCGCTCTTCCCAACCAACCCACTCGCCAGAAGTCAAACAACAACACCCCAGAACCCACTTTCCACATCACCAAGTGCATGTTCTCGATTGGCAATCCCGCACCCGTCCCGCTGCCCGTTGTCGCTTCCGTCGCCCGTATCCCTTGCCAGCATTTTTCTTGCGCCTGCATCACTTTCGACGCTTGAACCAACCACCCCACCCACAACAACAACAACAACGTCGACACCACTTGCTGCTCAAGAAGGTATGGACACCACAGCGGATACCACGACAACAACCACGGCAAGCTTTGCTTCCATTGGTGCAGCCGACCTCGCCAGCGCACTCCGCGCCAACTCCCAAGTCCTTGTCATTGACGTGCGCACGCTGCGCTCGTTCAACGATGCTCGCGTCAAGGGTGCCCTCTCCGTGCGCCTGTCCAAGCTGTTGATGCGCCGCCTCAACTCGGGCCGCATCTCCATTGATGATGTCATTGTGGACCGCGACCAGCTGTGGGCCTCCCGCCCCTCGGGCTCGTGCCTCATTGTCTGCTACGATGACCACTCGCGCACCGACCAGAAGCCGCTCAGCTCAACAGACCCGCTCAACGTTGTCATGCGCTCCCTTCTCGGCTCCAAGATGAACGCCGTCTTCCTTGAAGGTGCGCCCTATCTGCATGCACGCATCTGTATTCATGCCGTGCGTGCATTTATGTTTCATGTCGATGTGCTGTCATCGGTACCTGCCGTCGTGCACGCGCGTGTGATTTGCTGTCACCGCTGCCTGCCTTGTTTGGTGGGGCTCCCTCCACACACAGTCTCTCTTTCCACGCGCTCATCCGTGTTTTTCGTTTCGTGTTGTGCCATCGCACTCCATGCTGTGGCGCTCTATTCTCTTCTTCTTCTCCTTCTTCTTCTTCTTCTTCTTCTTTTTTTTTTTTTGCATTGCACGTGCTTTGTTTGCGTGTATATTATATATGCAGGTGGCTTGGCGGAGTTTGAGTCTTCGTACCCTGACCTGGTTGAGCAAAGCGTGGGAGGACCGTGCAGCTTGTTGCCCAGCTTGGGCACGTTGTGCGTGAAGAAGAAGCCCCAGCTCCCTGCGCTGGTGAACGGCCACAGCGACAGTCACCCCCTGCAAACCCCATGCTCCCGCGCCTCGTTTGACGTGTCTGCGCTCGCCCAACCACAGCACCAACAGCACCAACACCAACAGCAGGCGTATCGCCGCGCCAGCGTCGCCACGTGCGGCAGCTCAAGGGCCGCTCAGCAAGCAACGACGGCAGTGGCGTCGTCGTCGTCGTCCACGTGCTCGTCGACGTCGTCGTCGCTCTCTGCGTCGTCCAACTCGTGTGGGCTGCGCACGTGCTTCACCATGACGGAGACATATCACCAGGCCGCGCACCGCCGCCCTCAGGTGAGCGCCGCGCTCAACCTCAGCTGCCCTGCGCCAACCACCCCGTACAACAGCGTCATGGAGGCGCCCATCTCCCGCGTGCGCGACTACCTCTTCATTGGCGCGCAAAGGGACGCGTGCAACCTGGCGTTGCTGCAGACTCACGGCATCACCCGCATCATCAACGTCACCCGTGACTGCGACAACGCCTTTGAGAAGAACCCGCAGTTTCGCTACCTGCAGATTCGCATCTCGGTGCGTCTCGTTTGCCCTGGTGAACTGCATCCCCTGTGTCTTGTTTGATCGTGTCGTCGTCTTTGCTGCTGCTGCTGCTGCTGTTGTTGTTGTTGTTGTGCAATGTGGACCTGCATCCTCTCGCTTCCACGTGCTCCGTTTGCTCTGCAGCACACACGGGTGCTCACACGCACGCGCCGCCTGCCTGTTGCTGGTTTGATTTGCTTCCACGTTTATCTCCACCACAGGACACGTGGAACCAAAAGCTGCAGGAGAAGTTTCCCAGCGCCTTTTCGTTTATTGACGAGGCGCGGCGGGCTGGCGAGCGCGTGCTTGTGCACTGCAAGGCAGGCGTCTCCCGCTCTGCAGCAATTGTGATTGGCTACCTCATGTACAGTGAGAAGATGACACTCGATGAGGCCCACGTCGAAGTCAGGGTGAGTCGCCACTACCACCCCGCTTGTTTGTGTTGCCAGTGTTGCCCGTGTTGCCCGTGTTGCTTTCTTCTCCGCCTTGATGTACGTGCTTACCTGCACACACTTGTTGTTTTATTGACTCACCCTCCTCCCTGTCGCCTGTGCTTGATGTTGTCAACACCAGAGCAAGCGGGACATTATCAGCCCCAACCTTGACTTTATGGGCGAACTCAAGGAGTACGAAGACATGCTTCGCTCCGTTTGCTGTTCGTCTTAAGTTATTGCCCACGTGGCGCCTCGTCGCAGTCCCTCCCGTTTCCATCCCCTCCCCCCAATCTCCATCCACCCCGGCCCCTGCGGCAGTCCCAACGCCGCCAGCAACATCCTCAGCCCCTCTCTTCTCTTCTCTTTTCTCGCAATCACACATTGCTCCTCGGCAGCACGGCTGAATGAGACACCACCACCCCCCTGAGTGCCGTGTTGCACTCTCGTTGTGGTTCTCTCGTTTTACGTTTTGTTGTTGTTGTTGCTCGTCAGTGTTTCCCCTTCTTTTACTTTCTTTTTACCACTAGTGCCGCCTTGGCGTATGTTGTCGTGCCGTTTGTTTGTTTGTTTGTTTGTGTCAAGCTTCCCTCCATTCTTAAGGGCCCATTTCTTTTTTTGTTCGTGTTTGTTTTGTTGTTGTTTGTTTGTTTGCGCGTGTGTTTCTCTCCTTCACACACACACACACACACACACACACACACACACACACACACACACACACACACACACACACACACACACACACACACACACACACACACACACACACACTTCCTTTCCGCTGGTCATTGCGCCGCCGTTGTGTTTTTTTTTTTTTGTTTAGCCGTCCCACCACCACCACCACTCGCTTGCTGGCGCTTGTGCTGCCGTGTTGTTGCTCTCTGACGCTTGTCTCCACCGCTCGCAAATGGTTGGCGGGTAGGGGAGATGACGGCATGGCAGATGTCAACGCACACACACACACCACGCGCATGGCACAGGGCACACCAGTCTTTGCCAACAGCAAAGGTGGCTTTTGTTTCTCAGCTTGATTTTGCTTTTGCGCATTTTCGTTTAACCGAAAATCCCCAAACCACCAGCAGGCGCTGTACGTCCTGGAATTGAGACTCTGACCTCTCCCCTTTCCCTTCTTTCTTCTTTTCTAATGCTCCCCTTTGTATTGTGCGTTGTGTGGGCACCCTTGTGTTCATGTTGTGGAACCTCACCACACAGACACACACGCACAAGGACACATGTGCCACCTTCCCACGCCCCCTTTCTTTGGCGTTCGTCGTTTGCAACGGCGCTCGTTTGAGAGTCGGTTGACAGTACAGGTCTTCTTTTTTCAAATTCAATGTGACGGAGCTTGTGATGTGATGTGAAGTAACCGAGTCAGTGTGGATGATGTGTGATGTGTGTGTGTTCGGGGGTGGGGGAAGGAGTGGTGACAGTGTGGATGTCGACAGGCGCAAAGACGCTGTCAACGTCATGTGCGCCCTTTGCTGGAATTGTGCGCTCACACATACATGCCTGCACGTTCGCGCGCGCACGTCATGGTGTTCGTGGAGAACATGGATGGAGTGATTGGGGTTGTGTCGTGTTGGCAAAGGCGCTGTCGCAGCACTGCCATGGTCGCAGTTGGTGGGGCGGGCCAGCCAGCCAATGGAACGGACGGACCACGACGACGACGACAAGCAACAAAGACAAACAAGACGCAGGTGTGGCTGGCACAAACGCATGCTCTCCAAAACACACACACACACACGCACACGCACGCACACGCACACTGGCTCGTCTTCAACTTTGCTGGTCGTGGAAATAGCGACTTGATGAGTGGAAGCATTTCGTTTACATAGATGATTAGAGAGTGTGTGGCAGCAGCGAGGGGCACCTTTGACACTGCCACGCTGGCGGCGGAGGAGGGAGAAGGAGAAGGGTTACAAAAAGGTAGCACGTGCGTGGATGAGTGCATGGCCGTTTCACAACACGAGAGTGCGTACGTGTGTACATGAACGAAACAGGGGCAAGAAGACGTGGGATTCGACAGGCGACAGCGGCAAGGATGCGATCAGACCAGCAAGGCATCGGGGAAGTTGTCACGTAACAAGAGCATGCGTTGTTGGCATGAGTTGAGAGGAGGGGGCGAGGAGAGCGAGGAGAACGAGGAAGGAAGTGGGCAAGCGGTTGGCTGGGAAGCCGCACAGAACGGGGGCTGGACAGTCTCACAAACTGCTGCACGACCCACAAGCTGCCCTTTTAGAGGACACAGCGACAGCCAAACAAGCACACACACGCACACATGCACTCACTCACACATACAAACACGCACACATGCACTCACTCACACATGCAAACATACACACACACACACACACACACGCACGCACACACACACACGCACGCACGCACGCACACATGCACTCACTCTCTCTCCCGCTCGCTTCACTCACGCGCGCACCAAACATGGTGTGCCTGGCTTATGGTGATCGACGTGCGTACAAGTGGTCTCCAGCCTATCGCGGTGGTTGTCTGCTGTCCGTGTTGGTGTTGCTTCGTGCATCTTGGATGGAACGCAGCCAGCCCCGCAGCGTCCATGCGCTCTCATCCACGCTCCTGATGATGTAGACGCGGCCAGGGACCTGGATGTACAGCTCTGCGGGCGCCCCGCTGGAGATGACGACGCTCTCAATCTGCGATAACGGGATGGTGCCCCGCGCAGGGGCGCCGGCTTGCACCTGGTACGTCAGACACCCGTCCTTGAACTTGAACCAGCGCTTCTTAAAGGCCTTGTTGACTTTGCCTCGCTTCATCAGCCACCCCTGCGTGATCTTCACATCCTGCGCTTGGGTACAAGGAAGAGAGTGAGGAGAGTTGAGGAGCGTTGAGGAGAGTGAGGAGCGTTAAGGAGAGCGACAAGAAGCAGAAATGAGGGACAAAACATGTGGTTATGTGTGTGTGTGTGTGTGTGTGTGTGTGTGTGTGTGTGTGTGTGTGTGTGTGACATTCGTGGTTGCATGTGCCGCACTTGTGACGCGATCGGTCATGCACTCTCACTATCACAAAAGCACAAGAAGCACACGCACACACGCACACACACACACGCACACGCACACACGCACACACACGCATACGCAGTCTCGCAGGCAACATGACGCACCTCAGTGATGTCTTGGCCAGCTGCCAGCAGCGTTCACACCAAACAGGGGTAAAGAGGTGCAATCAGTATGCGAACACTCTCACCGACACACAATACATACGTATGCAGACACACAAAAAAAAACACATCCAGACGCACAATGCATACAATACACACATACACACATACACACATACACACACACACGTACAGACACGCACAACCCTGTTGCACGCTTCTGCACCCCCGCACCTTCGTTTGAGAGCGTGGCAAGATCCATCGCGTCCGCCTCCGCAAGACCGGCACAAGCAAAAGGAAGGAGCGACAACAACTTGGCTTCTTCTTTTCTTGCCTCCTTGCTTGATCGCTCGATGTGATTGTAGAACAGTTGTTGGTGTCATTCATAAAAAAGAAACATGGCAAGGCGGAGGCCACTCGTTGGCGGCGGCAGCAGCAGGTCGTGCTGGGGATGGTGGCTGCGGTGGGCTGGCATTGGGCTGGCGCTGGTGGCTGCATTCCTGCTGGGTGCGCTGACACGTGTGTGGGTGCCCGGGGTCCCGAGCTCCGCGCTCATGCACGCGTATGGAGCGTCAGATCCAACCAAGACTGTGCGAGCACAGGGCCTGGACATATGCACTCAACAACAACAACATCAACAACAGCCGACGTGCAGTGCGCCACGGCCGCTGTTCACGATATCCCACCCCAAGAGCGGGCGCACGTGGCTGAGGTGCTTGGTCTCCCACGCGTTTGCGTGCTTGAACAAGTACAACGACACCCTGAGCCTGGCGGATATCGAGATGTACTCGGGAAACGTGCTCGACTTCTCACACGGCGAACCACACCATCCCTTCTCCAGCACGCCGTGGGACCTGGCGTATGCCTTTGCAGAGGAGCGCCCGCACAACCGCGAGCACGGCGTGCTGCTCGTGCGAGACCCGCGCGACGTGATCGTGAGCTCGTACTACGAGCGGCGGTACCGGGAGCACGTGCGCTGGATCCCACCTTGGACATCCCTCTCCCAATACATCACCTGGCACAAGGGCAGCCTGCGCACGCTGCTCATGTTCCTGAACCTGTGGAGCGCCGTGGTGGAGAAGCCTGGGTGGACCGTGCTTCGGTACGAGGACATGCGGCGCTGCCCACACCAGACGCTGCGGCACATTGTGAACGAGCGGTTGTGCCTGGGCGTGTCGGAGGAGTGCATCCAGGCCGCCGTGCGCTGGTGCGACTTTGGCAGCCTGCAGAAGCGGGCGGAGGAAGCAGGCACATCTGGGGGCGCGAAAATCTTCAGTCCAGCGAGCAAAGGGAACCCAAACTCGCGCAAAGTGCGCAAGGGCAAGGTTGGCGGCTACCGCGATGACTTGAGTGAGGCGGACATTGAGTATATGGAGCAGACCATTCAGAAGCATCTCGTTAGCGCACGCATCTTTGGCTACGGAACGCCGCCCACCATCACCACCGAGGACTAACAACTTATGAGGCGCGTGCATGTGTGTGTGTATGCACGTGTGCACGTGTGCATGTGTGTGTGTGTGTGTGCATGTGTGTGTTGGGGGGGGTTCGTTTCATACGTTTGTTCATGCCCTCTTCTCTCTTCCTCCCCTCCTCCCCTTTCTCCTTCTCCCCCGCCCGCTTGCTACGCTCCGCTCCCTGCTTGTTTATTGGGTTGTTTAAGTCAGTGGCGCTCACGTCACACAGTTGCGTGATCTTGAACAAGATCGTGCGATAGCGTGCCACTCTTGGTGCGTTCATCCTCGGGATTGATTGGTAGGTTTTTGCAGTTACAGTGTGCACGATGCCATGGTGTGGCACCCGGCTTCGCAGCCCGCCTCGCTTGCTTCGCTTGCTTCGCTTGCTTCGCTTGCTTCGCTTGCTTCGCTTGCTTCGCTTGCTTCGCTTGCTGTGTGTTTAAAGTAACATAAACGCGCCACATCAGGGGCCACAGAACGAAGCAATTCCACCCACCTGCTTTCGTGTACAGCGGGCTGCTGCTTCACATCAAACGCCTTGCTACTTCCTCACTGACATCTTGCTTGCATGATATGACATTCGCCTTGCTTTGCTTTGCTTGTGCAGTGCATGCTGCTGCACGTGTTAGTGATGGGTGTGATTGCTTGTCGATGTGTGTTTCTTCTGGCAAACACACAAACAAACAAACGACAAAACCCAAAAGAGAAGAAGAAGAAGGCACGAACAAGCGTGCTGTGTCCCCTTGTGTTGTCTGTCACTCACCCTCTTCATTACCGCAGCAGCAGCACCACCACCACCACCACCAGCAACAGCAGCAGCCTGCCCCTGGAAGTTAGCCCTGCATACATCTTGGCAAGCGTGATTTGTGTGTGAGAGATCCTCACACACGGCTCACACACGCTCGCACACGTTCACGCACGCATTGACACCACAGCAAACAACACCAATACTCGCAACCAAGGAACGAACGCATGATGGTGATCGGTAGGTGTGGGAGGAGTACAAGGATGCTGAAGCAGCAGGCGCTGTTGGTTGCAGGGCTCTTGGTCGTGGCCGCCGCAGCTTTTGCAGGGCTGGGGGCCGCTCAAACAGTTGTCGTGACAACAACAACGACGACGACTGCCATCAACGGAAGCACAAGCGGCGCTGCCAATCAGACTTCGACGGTCGCGCCAAACACAACAACTGTGGACAACACCAACGCGACCACGGCAAACGCAACAACCATCTCCACATCAACAACAACACCAGTGCACGTGTCAACGACGACGCCTACGACAAAGGAGACAACCAACGGTCCTCCCGTCCTCTTCACCACATCCTTCAACCAGTGAGACACGGTTTTGCATGCGTGCCTGCCTGCGTGCGTGCGTGTCTGTGTGTGTGTGTGTGTGTGTGTGTGTGTGTGTGTGTGTGTGTGTGTGTGTGTGTGTGTCTGTGTCTGTGTCTGTGTCTGTGTCTGTGTCTGTGTGTGTGTCTCTGTGTCTGTGTGTGTGTCTCTGTGTGTCCGTGTCTGTGTGTGTGTGCGCTGCTCTGTACACCTTTGTGCGCTGCTTTGTACGCTGATCTGTGTGTGTGTGTGTGTGTGTGTGTGTGTGTGTGTGTGTGTGTGTGTGTGTGTGTGTGTGTGTGTGTGTGTGTGTGTGTGTGTGTGTGTGTGTGTGAATGTGTGTGTGTGTGTGTGCCGGAGCTAATATGACCTCCCTCCTCCACCTTTCGTCCCCCCTTCTCACCACTTCCGCAGAACGGTGTCGTATTGGTTCCTGCCGCCAGCGCTTCCGGGCTTGGCTCTTAACTTTGTCGGCTATCGCTATGTTGGGGTACGCGCGTCAGCAACGCTGGCTCACGCTTTCACGCCTGTTGGGGTTGCAATGAAACGCCACTGCTTTGACGCGTCGGCTTTGCACTCACACACACATCTGCTGTGCTGTGCTGTGCTGTGCTGCGCTGTGTCGTGTCGTGTCGTGTCGTGTCGTGTCGTGATGTCAGGTGTCCATGTTTGTGGTTGGTGCTGCCGTCTCGGGCGGCGCCTTTTACACCTTTTCGCCACAGATCTTCCCCAACACACCGTTTTGCTGCGGTGACAAGGGCTCCCTCGCTGGCCACATCATCGTCAGCCTCTTCGTTGGTGTGTGTCTGTGTGTCTGTGTGTGTCTGTGTGTGTGTCTGTGTTTCTGTGTGTGTCTTTGTCTCTATGTGTGTGTCCTTGTGTGTCTACGTACCAGTGTGTGTGTGTGTGCCTGCCTCTGTACGCCCTTGTGTATCCGCGTTCCCCACCATGCACATCAATTCTCTCACTGCACCCCCTTACCTTACCTTCTTGTGCGCTGTAGGGCTCCTTGGCGGGCTGATAGCGCTGTACGTATTTCGGCTTGGCCTCTTCTTCATTGGAATGTCCTTTGGTCTCGTAAGTTGAGCACGTGGGCTGCCCCTTTGTTGCAATTGTGTCGTGCAGGCGCGGTATGCTTGTGAGTGCGCAGTGAACCTCAACTCTGGCGCGTGCATGTTTTCATGATCGTGTGCACCCTTGCACCTCACACACACACACACACACACACACACACACACACACACACACACACACACACACACACACACACACACACACACACACCACC